CATGATCCACACTCTTTATATACAGTCCATGATCCACACTCTTTATATGCAGTCCATGATCCACACACTTTATAAGTACAGTGTATAATCCACACCTGCTCTTACATGTCAGTCTGTTGTGATTTTAAATCAGTGACACACTGTGGGGGTTAATTGTTGATGTCAGCTCAACCATTTCCTTGTGTCATTTTCAATACAAATTACTGAGCTGTGCTGCTCATCTCTGATTGGCTGTTAAGAGTCAGTGCCATGATGCAATAATACAGAGTCCAAACCTCCCTTTCTACCTCCTTATTTCTCATTTCTTTGTCTCTTATTCTTTCTCCATCACACTTGTGTCTCATGTCTTATGTAGCTCTCTCTCTCTCWCTCTCTCTCTCTCTCTCWCACACACACACACACACACACACACACACACACACAGGCATAATGCATTCCCTAGCCCCTTAACCTCAACCATCAAAACTAAATGCCTAACCCAACCTAAACCTAATTCCAACCCTAAACCAAGTTAAATCAAAATACAACAAAATATAGCAGCCATGCCATGTAAAAAAATAAACTACAGTGTTTTTGTATTTTAAAAATACAAAAACATACTTTCCAAGGGAGCATGAAATCACATTGGATATATAAATATTATATATATTATATATTATTATATTATTATCTATCTCACCAGGAGTATTCAGTTGATTAAAGCAGCTCAGCTGATAGCAACTAGAGTAATTCATTAATCAATCATTAATATAATAATAAATGATGTGTCAGGCAGTCATTGATGTAATATGCAAATTATCCTATTAAACAGCTACTAATATTAGGGTATCATCATTTCCTTAGCAACCATTGGAAGATTATTTGGAAGTTGTAAACATTATAAACATTTGGGTGGGAGAACGACCATGAGGCAATAATTTTTAATCATCAAGCCCAGGCAGTCTTGTTTCTATAGCACAGTGTTATTTGAGAACAATTCTCACGAAAACACAGAACAGCCCCAAATAATTTACAGAGGTAGACTCAAACAATTGCTGGTGATGGATGGAATAAGAACCTGTTGTTTCATGGCTTTGCAGGACAACATTGTTACTGACAATGGGGCACAAGACGTGTGCATTTACTAAGTTAAACCATCTCCTGACTTTATAAAGTAATGTACAACAACTCTGAAACACTTTTTTTCCCTATGCAAAAACTTACCATAGGTTGAATGTAGCAAGCTAATGTTAACTGTGAGGGCTGCTAATGTTACCCAAGTCAAACAGAGAACACTCTGTAATTTGATTCAGCCTATGATACTAAAACAAACACTAAAACCTAAGAATTAGTGCTAAAAATCAATAGAGAGCTGGTAACCAACACATTATCAATTTTCTGAACCTTAATGTTCTGATCTCAACAAGCCTGAACAAAGTATTGCATAGATACTAATAAGATGCTGCATGCATGGATTTTTATTATTTTATTTTTATCAAATACAAATGACCAAATACTGTTTCTTATTTCAAATACGTATTTTAAATGTTTCATAAATACTGCCTGTCCCTGTTCACAAACATAAAAAAACACACACATACTTGTGTCTCCATGACTACAGAGGACATTACATTAACTTTACCTGAACAATAATTACCTATCCAAGGCTAACCCTTAACACAAACTTAACCTTAAAATGTATTTACTTTGAAATGGCTTTTCATCCAAATTGGATCTGCACCATATTACAAACATTAACCAATACCAACCTCTTAAATATGTCTGAATTAATTTATCGAGATTCTATTCCCTGAGAAATCAACGAAAATGTTGCTAAAATCTCACAATGTTCTAAAAAATCCTGTATCTGTCCCCTGATCTGGATCAACACCAAATTTTAATTGTTTTTTTTCTGATTCATACCACATCTTTTCACAAAGTTTCATGGTAATCCATCTGGTAATTTAGTAAACAAATGACTAACAAACAAACACAGAAGAAAGCATAACCTTCCAGGCAGGGATAAGAATTTCTCATAATGTGACTGAGTAAACACATTTTTGTCCCCACAACATGAGTAATACCTGGTCCACACACACACACACACACAGTGAAAGTTGTAACCAGCAGACATGAGATAGTCCATCAATGAAACAACAAAAAGACAGATTAACATTTCTTGGTTCTGTTCAATGAAG